CCATCAGCACCCCACATTTTACCGCCACCACGAATCATCGCAGGCATAGATGCATCTACAATCACATCATTTGGTGAATGGAAGTTGGTAATGCCTTTCGCTGAATCCACCATTGCAAGTGCAGGACGGTGTTCTTGGCAAGCATGAAGATCTTCAATGATCTCTTCACGTAATGATGTTGGTAAAGTTGCAATCTTCTCGTAAAGACCAGCCATACCGTTATTGACGTTAATACCTAACTCATCAAATAACTTAGCATGCTTTTCAAATGCTTCTTTATAGTAAATTTTTACACAGTGACCGAATACAATCGGGTGTGAAACTTTCATCATGGTTGCTTTTACATGCAACGAAAATAAAATGCCCGCTTCACGGCAATCATCAAGTTCTTTCTCATAGAAATCGCAAAGCGCTTTCTTGCTCATAAACATTGAATCGATGATTTCGCCATCAAGTAATGCAACTTTTGGCTTAAGCACAATGCTCTCACCATTTTTGGTGATAAGTTCCATTTTTACGTTACGCGCACGGTCAAGTGTCATTGACTTTTCACCGTGATAGAAATCGCCCTCATCCATATGCGAAACATGTGTTTGTGACCACTGTTTCCATTCGCTCATTGAATGTGGATGTTTCTTCGCATAGTTTTTCACTGCTGCAGGTGCACGACGGTCAGAGTTACCTTCACGTAACACTGGATTCACCGCAGAACCAAGGCACTTGCTATAACGTACCTTAATTGCTTTTTCTTCTTCAGTTGTTGGATTTTCAGGATAGTCTGGGATTGCATAACCCTTTGACTGAAGTTCCTTAATACATGCGCTCAACTGAGCAACAGATGCACTGATATTTGGGAGTTTGATAATGTTAGTGTCTGGATCTTGAGTAAGACGCCCTAAATGCGCAAGGTTGTCAGATACTTTCTGTTCATCGCTTAAGTATTCCGCGAACTCTGCAAGAACACGAGCAGCTACAGAAATATCAGTTTTGACAATCTCTACGCCAGCTGGCTTAGTAAAGGTCTCAATGATCGGCAGTAGCGAATAAGTCGCCAACAATGGCGCCTCGTCAGTCAGTGTGTAAATGATTGTTGACTTTCCACCAGCCATATATAGCCCCTTGCTTTAAATTGTGTTTTGAGAACCGAGCTTGTGACCCAGCCCTTACGAACCGACTTGCTTAAATTTAACCCCAAGAGTATCAGCCTTCCTGGTATTACAGTCAACGTAAGATCTGTGATAACGACATTTCGTAAAAAAATGGTACATCACAAATATTGCATTAATATCAATATTTGCACAAAAATTAAGCATTTTCTTGTAAAAATAGCCATTCCGACCAAGAGCAACAACAATCTATGCCGTCTTGTGCTTTATTGTTTTAAACATTAAAAATTTTATCTTGCTGATTCTTACAAACTGAGCAACCAATTAAAAGCCATTGAAAAACACATCGACGCGCTTCAGCGACATAAAACAAGCCAAACAGCACAAACAAAAATCGGCTAGATACTGTTTAAATTTTAAATCATTCAAGTCTGCCTAAAAAGTGAATACGCAAATGAATGGAAAATTTATTTACTCCCCCCAATACTCTGGTCACGATATGACAATAAATATGCTTTGGTTAACTTATACTCACAAAACAACAATACTTTTACCTTGAATAGTAAGTGAAAAAATCGTTATTAATAAATTACATGTTTAATTTTCCATCACATCATTGATGGAAGAATAACCTTCAATGATGTATTTCCGATCCCAAAATTAATATTAAAACTGTAGAGGTAATATGTTAATGCTATTACTCATCGCAATACTTATTCAAATCATCTCACTCTGGGCCGTTTTCTTTTTTGCACTTCATCGAACAGTCGGAAGTATCACTACGATTGTCATTGCAATTCTGAGCGCTGTGATCAGCCCGTGGTCTCTCATCCTTGGTCTTCCGCTTATTCTCATCAGTTTAGTGTTACTGATTGAACCACTGCGAATGCAAGTTTTGACTAAACCGGCCTATAAAACATTAGCCAATGCAATGCCAAGCATGAGTACCACTGAACGTGAAGCATTGGATGCGGGTACCAGTTGGTGGGAAAAAGAATTATTTATGGGGGCGCCAGATTGGGAAAAATTTAACAATTATCCCTACCCGACGCTTAGTAATGAAGAGCAATCTTTTTTAGATCATGAGGTTGAACAACTCTGTCAGTTGCTAGATGAATGGGAAATTCATCAAAATAAAGACCTGAATGCAGAGACATGGCAATTTATTAAAGACAATGGCTTTTTTGGACTCATTATCCCTAAAACTTATGGTGGTCGTGAATTTAGCTCTTTTGCACAAAGTCGCATTATGAGCAAAATTGCTTCACGTTCTTTAACCACCGCTGTAACCTGTATGGTGCCTAACTCATTAGGACCAGGTGAGCTCTTACTGAATTATGGTACAGACGAACAAAAAAATCGTTATTTGCCCGGCTTAGCCAAGGGTGAGGAAATTCCTTGTTTTGGACTCACCAGTCCTGAAGCGGGTTCTGATGCTGGGGCGATTCCAGATACTGGCGTGGTTTGTTATGGAGAATTCGAAGGTCAACAAGTGCTTGGCTTAAAGATGAATTTCTCAAAACGCTGGATTACCCTAGCACCCGTTGCAACAGTAGTCGGTCTCGCCTTCAAACTGTATGACCCAGATGGCTTATTGGGAGATAAAACTAAAACTGAGTATGGCATTACCTGTGCACTTATACCCGCCTCTCATGCAGGCGTAGAGGTTGGACCAAGGCACCATCCGGGTGGTTCCCCATTTATGAATGGTACAGTCGAAGGTAAAGATGTCTTTATTCCGCTTGACTGGATTATTGGTGGCGCAAAAAATGCGGGGAATGGCTGGCGTATGCTGATGGAATGTCTGGCTGTTGGACGTGGTATTTCACTTCCTGCACTTTCTACAGCCGCAGGTGAAATGACGTATTTATCTGTAGGTGCATTTGCTAAAATCCGTCAACAATTTAAATTATCAGTAGGTAAATTTGAAGGGGTGCAAGAAGTTAGTAGTGACATCGTCAGCCATACCTATATGTTGGAAGCTTTTCGCTATTTAGTCACTTGCGGTTTAAATCAAGGTGGTAAACCCGCTGTTATGACCGCGATGGCAAAATACTATGCCACTGAAACGATGCGAAAAATCGTCAATCATGGTATGGACATCACTGGTGGTCGTGGTATTCAACAAGGTCCGCGTAACTTTCTTGCCAATATGTATCAAGCCATTCCGATCTCGATAACGGTTGAAGGGGCAAATATCTTAAGCCGTTCGTTGATGATCTTTGGTCAAGGTTCGATGCGTTGCCATCCTTATTTATTTGAGGAATTACAACTGTTACAGGCCGAAGATAAAGCCTCTGCCTTAAATACATTTAACACCATGTTATATCAACATTTAGGCTACACCTTAAACCGTGGCGCGCGTGCATTCACTTATGGATGGTTTGGGGCAAGTAGTCAACGACCTGACTCATCAGATGCTTTTACTCAACCTTATTATAAAATCATCAATCGATTCAGTACTGACTTCGCCCTAACCGCAGATATGTGTCTTGGACTGTTAGCTGGTGATATTAAACGTAAAGAAATGCTCTCAGGGCGATTAGCTGATATTCACTCCAAAATGTTTATTGCAACAGCCATTCTCAAATTTTATGAAAATGGTCAAAGATCCTCGCAAGAACAAATACATGCCAAACTCGCATTGGACGAAACGCTTTATGATGCCCAAGAAGCATTTTATGGCTTATTTGATAATTTTCCGATTCAAATTGCAGCAAGTCTGGTTAAATTTGTTTGTTTCCCATTTGGTCGACCGATCAAGAAACCGAACGATCGTCAAAAGAGTGAAGCAGCGGAACTGCTCATGCAAGATAATCCGTTCCGAGATTATTTAAAAACGCAGGTTTATTATACTGTTGATCCGAATGATGCTTTTGGACGAATGGAAGCCACCTTTAATCTACTCACAACCGTTGAAGACGATTGGAACCGCTTTAAAAAAGCAGAATCTAAAGGTGAATATCAAGGGCTAACATTTGAAGAGCGCATACAGGATGCAGTCACTCGTGGCTTAATCAGCGATGATTTAGCCACAAAATTAACCCAATATAATGCACTTCGTTATGACAGTATGCTCACAGATATTTTTGATGAAAAATTAGAGCAGGTGTTGGTATTAGAAAATCCTCATCTTCACTCAACTTAAATCGATTTGGCAAATGCCATTTAAGAGATAAGGCAATATAAAACGTTGACCATAAACAGCGATTCACCATCGCTGTTTTTTAACATAGACATATTGCCAATGGGTTATTTGACTATTTCGGTATAGTGTTAAAAATATAATAGCTGAGGAAAAAAGACGATGTCTCAACAAGATTATGAAAATGGCTTAAAAGTCCGTACAGAAGTGATGGGAGAAAGCTTTGTAAAACGCGCTCAAGACAATACTGTTGCTTTTACAAGACCTTTGCAAGACTGGATCAATGAGCATGCATGGGGTTCAACTTGGCAACGTGAGGGTGTTTTACCACGTAAATACCGCTCTTTGATTACCATTGCATTTTTAGTTGCACAAAAAAGCCCAACCGAACTAAAAGGTCATATTCGTGGTGCATTGAATAATGGCGCAACAGTTGAAGAAATTCAGGAAGTGTTATTACACAGTTTACCTTACTGTGGCGCACCCACAACCCAAGAAGCATTTCGTGCAGCGCTTGAAGTCATCAATGAATACCAAAAAGAATCATAGACAAGCAATACGTTCTATTTTTCAATATAGGCCATGCTCAAAACTATGGCCTATATTGCCGAGTTAATTCCAAAACACATTAAAGCTATAGAAAAACTCATCCACTTCAAAACGTATGTGATATCCCAATTGAGTTAACTCAGAAGAAAGCCCACGAATATCCTCTAAAGCTAGATGTTTAGGTAAAACTGTAAAAACAGCAGTATTGCCCTGCTTGGCATTCTCTTCAATCATTTGGGCTAAACGAACTTTATACAACTCTATATTTAAGTTTGAATTGGCTGCCAATCGTTTCGCATCTTCAGCATGAATAAACATTATTTAATTTCCATATTATTGTTTTCCAAGATGTCACTACAAGATATAAATAAATATCGGAATACGCTGTATGCTTTATGTTCGAAGGCATATACTCAAAAATATAGTCACGATAAAAATCGTTGTAACTATAAAAAATCATAAGAAATTTTTTACACGCTTTCTGGGTTCACTTCTAGCAAAAACCTACTCACAAAAATCAAAATAAATCCAGTGCTTTATTTCAATGAAATTTAACTTTTGTATTTAAAAAGTAAATGATAATTGTTATTATTTACTTAATTTTTAACCTTTCATTATTTGATTGCCTATGAATAGCCAGACTGAACTCGATGCACTTAGCGCGTCAGTTTCAACTCCGACTGTATCTACACGAGCTAAATCCGCACCGTCCCTCATACAATATCGTGTCATGATTTTCTATCGTTTTGCTCTGGCAATTCTTGGTGGTTATCTGCTTGCGTCTTTGTCCGCTATAGTGATTGCAAAAACATTTGCTGATTATCGTGCCGCGGCTGCGATGAGTGCAACGCTACTTGCTTTCTGTATTCACTGCGCTGCATTCATTTGGGTTTTTATGGTCAATAAGACATTAAAAGCCAGCCTAGGCATACTTCTTCCAAGTATCATTTTATTTGTCATTTATAAAATGATGGGGAATTAAGATGCGCGTAGATGCAAAAGTTGAAGGTCCACGCCAATCCATGTCATGGTTACATACATGGGCAAGCTTAATTCTTGGTTGGTTACTCTATGCAATTTTTTTGACAGGAACATTGAGTTTCTTTCAGTCTGAAATAACGGCTTGGATGAAACCAGAAATACATCAATCCGTTCCAAGTGATTCTCAAGTACAGCAAACCCAAGTTGCCTTAGATTATCTACAAAAGAACTATCCTGATGCTGGTAGTTGGACGATTCAATTACCCAATTCTAGACAGACCACAACTGAATTAAATATTCGTAAACAAGGTGAAGATCTACAAGCGCGTCGTGGTGGGGAAAGAATCACCATAGACAGTGCAACTGGACAAGTTATTGAAGCACGAGACACCCGTGGTGGTGGTTTTCTATATCGCTTTCACTTTGAACTGTATGGATTTGATCGTATTTGGGCACGTTGGATCGTCGGTTTAGCCACGATGCTGATGTTTGTGGCAATTATCAGCGGCATTATTACCCATAAAAAAATTTTTAAAGATTTCTTTACGTTCCGTTCAGGTAAAGGCCAACGCTCTTGGTTAGATGCACATAATGCCACAGCTGTTTTTGCCCTTCCCTTTCATATCATGATCACCTTCAGTGGTTTGTTATTACTGATGTTTATGTTTATGCCTTGGGGAATTAACCAAGTCTATAAAGATCGACAAGAGTTTTTTCAAGAGATGCGCGGAGGTGCAGTTCAGCAAAATAATGCTCGCAATAGAAATGCTGAAAACCGTACTGGATCCGCAAATACAAATCAAACTCCAGGCCAAAATGAACAACGCTCACGAGGCGAAAGAGGCAAAAAACATCAACATGACGCTGGTCATCCTGCACCACTCACCGACTTAACCCCGCTTATTACAACTGCTCAAGCGCAATGGAAAGAAAATCCGATTGCTTCTATTCAAATCATTGCGCCAAATACATCCAATGCCACCATTGAGCTTCGCGCTTTATATGCGAAGAGTGTAGTTCAGCGGGGTGTTTACCCCATTTTAAAATTCGATGGCGTGACTGGTAAAGACATCAGCGAAGCGGCTCAAGCAAACAATGCCTCTATTCCAATGGGGATTTACAATGTGGTGACTGTATTGCATGAAGCACGTGGTCTTGATTTAACCTTCCGCTGGTTATTGTTCTTCTCTGGTGTAATGGGCACATTAATGGTTGCAACGGGGCTGATCTTATGGTGCGTCAAACGTGCACCGCAACAACAAAAACAAGGCTATAAATCATTTGGTTATCGTTTTGTTGAAGTGATGAATATTGCCGCTGTGATTGGATTACCTATTGCATGTGCAGCCTACTTCTACGCCAATCGTTTCATTCCATTTGAAATAGAAACACGTTTAAATTGGGAAATTAGAGCCTTCTTTATTGTATGGTTAGCTACGTTAATTTATGCAGCGCTTCGCCCACATCGTCAAGCTTGGCTAGAACTTCTATTGTTCTCTGGTGTTGCTTTTGCCCTATTGCCTATTGTCAATTTTATTACGGGTGGTCAAGCACTTTGGAACAGTATTGCCAATGGCCAATGGATGATTGCTTCTTTTGATTTAATGACATGGGTGCTTGCGATTTTGTTTTTCTACTCATTTTATAAAGTTAAAAAACATAAAGGGCTTCCTGTCAAAAAAGCCAGAAATGTACTTTCAAATAAGGAGATTTCAGCGTGATTTTCTTCTTATTAATTTGGTCTTTGTCTAGCTTGGCTTTTATCGCGCTTGCCAGCGCAATGTCAAAACATCAAAAACAGTTCTATGGACATGAACTAAGCCCCAAACAAACCCAACTTGCTTCTATTTCTGGTTGGGCTTTACTACTGATTTCACTGATCATTTGTGTCATGTCAGGGCAGCTTAGTAGCATGCTCAGCATTTGGGTTGGAGTACTGACCTTTTCAGCATTATTTGTTGGGGTGTTATTAAGCTATTACAGTTTAAAAATGAAATTGGCTGCCAGCTTTTGTGTGGGTATCAGCTTAATCACAAGTGTGATGCTACTCATTTAAACTGTTTCACAAAAATCAGTTATAATCATAAGCCAATCTGCGGATTGGCTTTTTTTCTATCAAATTTATTGCCTGGTATTGGTATTTTTATGTCTAAACCACTTTCAATCCCTTCAGAATTACTCAATCGTGCGGCAATGGGCAATCCCGCTGCACAATTTGAACTTGCTGAAATATATATGCAAAGTGAAGATGAAGATAACAATCAACTTGCAGAAGAATGGGCACTCAAAGCAGCACAATTAGGCCATGTTGAAGCCATGTATTGGTTAGGTGAAGGCTATGCTTATTATGCAAAAGATATCCTTGAAGAAGATCCTAAAGAAGCCAAGGCTTATTTTGAACATGCCCACCGCTGGTTAGAGCAAGCGGCCAAACATCAGCATCCTGCTGCGATTTTAGAGTTATCCAATTTCTATCGTCGTGGCGATGTGGTTGAAAAAGATCTGGTGAAATCAGTAGAGCTGGTTGAGCAAGCAGCAAAACTGGGTGAAGTTCAAGCCATGCGTGATCTTGTTTGTATTTATGAACACGGGATGGGGGTTGAGGTTGATGAAGAAAAAGCTGATTTTTGGGCTGAAAAAGCCAAGTCAGCTGAAGACACCTCAGTATAATTTATAAATTTAAGCCCATATAAAATGGGCTTAAATTTGATTCACTTATTTAATTACGTAAATGCACAAAAATTACATCTAAATCTTGTTTAGGTACAAAGTTTTTCTCAACCATTTGGAATTGTGTCGGGCTAATTTTATTGACTTTACCTTTCCAACAAAACGATACCAACTCTCCCGGATCACGTTCAATGGTCAATTTAAAGTTTTCAATCGGTTTTGCCCAGTTTGCCCCAGTAGTCAAGATATAACTCAGTGCATTAAAAGGCGAATGTTCCGACTGTGCTTTTTTCAAGCCTTTCTTAAAACTACTCTCCATACAAAATTGTTGATTATATTCATCTGGATATAATGCAACCGAACCACCCACTAAAGGTTTATATTGATGTTTTACCTGTGTAATTGAATTGGCTTTAAAAGTTTGCTTCCAGCTATAAACCACTTGTGATGACCAGTTGATTACTTCGTCTGGATTTTTAGGCAAAATGCTTTTTACTTTAGGGTTTGAGCAGCTTTTTAGTTTCTTTTCAAATACCCCATATTCATCACTTTTGCGATTCCAAGGATTTAACATTTCAGTTTGTGAAAAACCACATTGTTTAAATAACTCAGTGACATCAATCGCTTTAGACTTTTCGTCTCTTTGTATAAATGTCTGCACATGCATTGTCGGTTGAACCGCTTTTCCATTAACCTGAATTTTAAAACTTTTTAATAAATCCTCAGTGTGGGCAAAATCGGATTCAAAAGTATTATCAACTCGTGGTAAAGGGAACAAAACAGTTTCAGTAATATCCTGATTACTGAGGTTTTTAAATTGATAATCGACCTTAATTAATTTTTTACTAATAAATAAGTCTTCACCTTGCATGGCAATATTTTTATTTTTAAGGTACTCAATTCCCCCTGTTCCCACATAACCTGTAGAATCATTGGCGAAAGCTGATGTCGCTGTCAGAATCGATGTGATCAATACGATTTTTTTCATTCTCTTTAATCCAAATCAGGAAATTCTATTGTTTGATAATGCACACAATAAATGGATTCATCAAAAATAATATGTGTAGCAATCTGTTTGATAATCTGTTCTTGTAAAAGAATTTCTTTTTCTAAAACTTCATTCCAATAGATTGAGTTTTCTGAAAAATTCTCATAATAATCCAATACTTCAATCATCGCATTAAACAAAGCCACTAAATGCTGGCTTTTGTTTTGATTTGATACCATCAAGAAAAAGGCATCCAAAGAAATCACTTCAATGGCCTCTAATTCCTCATAATCATCGGCATATTCATCTACTAAAGCATTTGATTGTCGAATTTGCTTTTGATAATCAATTAAATTTTCTTGATCAATATCCTGAAACAATTGTTTTTTATCAATTTTAATTTGATAATTTTGTTCAATAGCAGATTGAAACGTTGGTAATTTTTCAAAAAAAGCAAAAACAGCTTTCACCAAACTTTTCCGCTGTTCAAGAGAAGCCTGCTCAATGGCTTGTCGCAATGCAAAGCTATGCTGATCTATTATTTTTACAATATCCATAAATTTAATGTTCCCGATATTCACTTTTTAAACCCAAAAAACCAGATATAGAAAAAGCAAAGCACGCATCATAATCACAAATACTGCAATCATCGTTGCATAGCTCTAGCACTTGGCAAACGCTTAAACGCATCATCTTGATTTTATTTCTGTTTATATATCAATAAATACTGATCATATTTTTGCATAGCTTAGCGATTCAAAAACAATTCTATCTTTTAGTTGAATATTAACCAACTACATTTGAACTCTATTAAAATCTAGGTACAATAGTCGCCAGTCGAGGGATGCTGCGACTTTTTCACAGGCACATAAATGTGAAATCGCTAGGCTCGACGATTCGGTCAGACCTTCGTGCTGATCAACAACGGCATCCGCGAACTGAATGATCAATATTTTTTTAATATAAAGGAGATCGTGATGAACGCGGTTAATGCTTCATTTACAGATTATAAAGTTGCAGATATTTCCCTCGCTGACTACGGTCGTAAAGAAATCAAACTTGCTGAAGCAGAAATGCCAGCGTTGATGGGCTTACGTAAACGTTATTCAGCAGCAAAACCTCTTGCTGGCGCAAAAATTCTTGGTTGTATTCATATGACCATTCAAACTGCTGTTTTAATTGAAACACTGGTTGAATTAGGCGCAGAAGTACGTTGGACTTCATGTAACATCTTCTCAACTCAAGACCACGCAGCAGCAGCAATTGCAGCATCTGGTGTTCCAGTATTCGCTTGGAAAGGTGAAACTGAAGAAGAATACATGTGGTGTCTTGAACAACAAATCAATGTTAATGGCACACCTTGGGATGCCAACATGATTCTTGATGATGGTGGTGATTTAACTGCTGTTGTTCATGAAAAATATCCTGAACTTATTGCTAAAATTCATGGTATTACAGAAGAAACTACAACGGGTGTTCAACGCCTAAACGAAATGTTCCGTGATGGTACTTTAAAAGTTCCTGCAATTAACGTGAATGATTCAATCACAAAATCTAAAAACGACAATAAATATGGCTGCCGTCATTCATTAAATGATGCAATCAAACGCGGTACAGATATGTTGTTATCTGGTCGTCGTGCGCTAGTAATTGGTTATGGTGATGTTGGTAAAGGTTCTGCTCAATCACTTCGCCAAGAAGGTATGATTGTACGTGTAACTGAAATTGACCCAATCTGTGCAATGCAAGCATGTATGGACGGTTATGAAGTTGTTTCTCCATATAAAAATGGTGTACAAACAGGTAAAAAAGAAGACATTAACCTAGACCTTCTTCAAAATACTGATTTGATCGTAACAACAACTGGTAACTACCACGTATGTGATTCTGCAATGTTAGATACATTAAAAGCAGGTTCAGTGGTGTGTAATATCGGACACTTTGATACTGAAATCGATACAAACTATTTACGTGGTTACAAGTGGGTTGAAGTTAAGCCTCAAGTACACCAAGTGTATCGTACAGAAAATGAAAATGATTACCTGATTCTTCTTTCAGAAGGTCGTTTGGTTAACCTTGGTAATGCAACAGGTCACCCTTCACGCGTGATGGATGGTTCTTTTGCGAACCAAGTATTAGGTCAAATGCACTTATTCGCAGAGAAATTTGCTGATCTTCCAGAAGATCAAAAAGCAGCACAGATCCGTGTTGAACTGATTCCTAAGAAATTAGATGAAGAAGTTGCTGCTGCAATGGTTGCTGGTTTTGGTGGTGTATTGACGCAATTGACTCAAGTTCAAGCAGATTACTTGGGCGTTGCAGTTGAAGGTCCATTTAAATCTGAGGCTTATAAGTACTAAGTTTTAATCCCCTCTCCCTAGCTTTCTCTCTTAGGGAGAAAGCAATATTCATTAACGTATTAATGAATATAAAGGCAAGGTCCTCTCCTTTTAGGAAAGGACCTCGGAGAGGCTAAAACAAATTAAAAAAGTATGAATAAAAAAGGATTTAACCATGACCAAACGTGTTCCAATTTCGTTTGAGTTTTTCCCGACCAAAACTGATGCAGGGGCGGAAAAACTTAAGCTTGTTCATCAAGAATTACAGCTTTTAAATCCAGAGTTTTTCTCGATTACTTATGGGGCTGGTGGTTCTACTCGTGAACGTACACTAGCCGCAATTGCTGACTTTAATGGTAAAGGCACACCTGTTGCCCCTCACCTTTCATGTATTGGTGATGACAAAGTACGTATTGCTGAATTACTCGATATCTATAAAGCTCAAGGGATTGATCGTATTGTTGCACTTCGAGGTGATTTACCTTCAGGTCAAGTCGGCCTAGGTGAACTGCCTTATGCGACTGATTTGGTCCGTTTTATTCGTGAACACTCAGGTGATCATTTTAAAATTGAAGTTGCGGCATATCCTGAAATGCATCCACAAGCTGACAACTTTGATGCAGACATTAAGCACTTTGCAGAAAAAGTCAAAGCAGGTGCAAATGCAGCCATCACTCAATTTTTCTTTAATCCAGATGCCTATTTCTATTTTGTAGAGCGTATCCAAAAAGAAGGAATTGATATTCCTGTTGCGCCAGGAATTATGCCAATTACCAATGCAAGCAATTTAATCCGCTTTGCAGATGGGACAGGTGCAGAAATTCCGCGCTGGATTCGTAAGCAACTTGCAACCTATGGTGATGACACTGCAAGTATCAAAGCCTTTGGACATGAAGTTGTGATCAAACTGTGTGAACGCCTTATTGCAGGAGGTGCACCAAGTTTGCATTTCTATAGCATGAATCATACTGAGCCAAACCGCCAATTGGTACTTGATCTCGGTTTAGCTTAAATCAAAATTGCATCATCAACTTGTGAGTAATACTGCATGCCCCGTTTTTATATTGAAACTGATTTAGCTGTCGAAACTACGGTTGAACTCACTGAAACAGTATTTCATCATTGGGTCAAAGTATTGCGTGCACAAGTGGGTGAAAAAGCCACCTTGTTCAATGGACAAGGGGGTGAATATGAAGTGACTTTAACAGCGGTCGCTAAAAAATCTGCTTCTGTTTTAGTCAATTCATTTAATCCAGATAACCGCACCCCTGCTTTTACAGCCCTACTTGGACAAGTCATGAGTAAGGGCGATCGTATGGATTATGCGATTCAAAAAGCTGTGGAATTGGGCATATCTCAGATTCAATTGCTCACATCAGAACGCTGTGAAATGCGTTTAAAATATGATCGAGATCAAAAGAAATTAGATCATTGGCAAGCTATAGCGATCGCAGCTTGTGAACAATGTGGTATGAATCTTGTTCCACAAATTTTAGCGCCTCTAAGCCTAAACGAATGGATCAAAACTGTATTACCGCAGAGCAAATTTGTCCTTGCGCCTGAAAAAGAGCAGACAGATGTACTGAAAGATATAAGCCCTGATATTGCCCTTTTGATTGGCCCTGAAGGTGGCTTAAATGAAGCTGAAATTGATCAGGCCAACCAATATGGATTTAAAAATTGGTGCATCGGTGATCGTATTTTAAGAACTGAAACAGCCCCTGTAGTTGCTTTATCAATTTTGAATTATCAAAGCTTTAAAAAGTGATGTATGTCATGTAAAATAATTGCAAATTGGATGATTTCACAGTATTTTAATTCCAAAGAAACTATTAATTAGCAAATTTTAAATAGTTGCTCCGTTAAACCTACACATTCTAAAAATAGCAGAGGTGCAAGCGCTAATGAATGATGTTCAGGAAGAGCTTCTTTCATATGATGTGAATTCGTCGAACATCAGAAAGATAACCAAAGATATCCGGATATTTTTTATCTGGGTATTTTTTACGTGTATCTGTGACGCTTTAATCTATATTTACTTATTTAATACTTCTTCTGAATTATTAAGTGGTTGGTTTATTCTGACTATTTTATTTATATTATCGGGATTTTTTTCTTCTACTTATCTTTTACAGCAAAATAAAGTCCAAGAATTTAAACATCTTGATCTTTTTTTTCAGTTTTCTTGTTTGATCTTAGGAAGCTTATTTGGGATTGGCGTTTATATCATCAATTTAGAATTTATGATGATGCCAAATGTGGTTGACCCATTTTTTTCATTTCTGTTATCTAGCTTTTTGCTGAGTTTTTCATATGTTTTAGCAATGAATTTTCTCAACCAAAGATTTAGCTATTTTATTGCTTTATTTGTGCCTTCTGCAATTCCGGTGCTCACGCTCCCTCTGCTTTTTCCTCAAAATACCAACGAAATCTATAGCACTATTTTCATTGTTTGGTTCTCTTTATTATTCTTTAGCACTTATGCTTCACATAAAATTTATATTAATTCTGAAATATTAGACCTGAAAAATAAGTTTTTATTTAAGCAATCACAAGAACAACTTGCAAATTATAAAGGCTTAGAAATACAACTCAAAAATGAAATCTCAAAAACACAGGTCATGAAAAGTGAATTGCAGTTACATAATCATTTATTAGAACAAAAAGTAAAAGAAAGAATTTTCGATTTTAAACAGATGAATGACCGTTTAGAAAATCATCAGGCCAACTTAGCTTTTGCCCATGAAACCGCGGGTATTCATTCTTGGGTCTGGAATATTGAAAAAAGAACTTTTGAGATTTCCGACTCAAAAAGCGGTGCAGAATTCAAACAACTTAATCTAAAACACAATAGCGTAGATGAATATGTTCATCCTGATGATATTGTCAATTATAAAACCATCCTGAAACAACATCTCAAAGGTAAAACTGAGCGCTTTGAGGCAATCTACCGTGTTAAGCGAGATGGTCAATGGTGCTGGATTCAAGACATTGGCAAAGTGGTTTCTAAGAACATCAATAACAAACCGCTCAGAATGGTGGGAATCCAACGCGACATTCAAAAAGAAAAGACTGACCAAGAAAAGCTAAAACTCGCAGCAAATGTATTAGCTCAAGTGGCTGAAGGTGTTTTCATTTTAGATAATAATTTATGCTACTTAGAAGTGAACCCTTATTTTGAAAAACTCTTAGATTATAAACAACATGATATCGTTGGAAATCATCTATTTGATATCACGATCAATAATAATTCTCGTACCCAACAAATGTATAATGTGATTACCCAAAGTTTAATTCAAAAAGGAGAATTTGAGTCTGAATTACAGATTGATTTTACCTCTGGGAAAAAACTTGCACTCTGGGTACACATCAATGCAATTTATGATGAAAAAAATAAATTTTCCAACTATGTCGGCATTATTACCGATTTAACTGATCGTAAAAAACAAGAACAACGACTCTCGTATTTAGAGCATTATGACATCCTGACCGATTTGCCAAATCGCTTTTATTTCAAACAACAACTGCATAATTATTTAATTCACTATTCTGATTCATTTAAAAATTTTGCGGTTTTACGTATCAACATTGACCGTTTTAAATTATTCAATGAATTTATGAGCCATAAAGAAGGTGATGAATTATTAAAACAAGTCGCTCACAGATTAAGATTATGTTGTCCAAATGCCTCTTTGATAGCTTACTTAAATAATGATGATTTTGCAGTGATCTATAATTTAAGCAGTAATAACATCAATATTCATCAACATACACAACATATTTTAGATGCGTTTAAACAACCTTTTGATGTTAAAGAACAAGAACAAACCATCACCATTTCTATTGGCGTTGCGCTATATCCAGAGCATGGCTTACAGCTCGACAGTCTCAATGGTCATGCAGAATCAGCATTACACGAAGCCAAACGTTTAGGCGGAAACACCGTATATTTTTATTCAAACAAAAAAACTCCGTTGCTCAATCAAGGGATCAACTTAGAAAACGAATTAAGAAAAGCCATAAAACATAAAGAACTGACCGTGCATTATCAACCTAAAATCTGTGTTAAAACTCAACGTATTTATGGTTTTGAAGCATTAGTCCGCTGGCAACATCCAACTTTGGGTTATATCTTGCCAGACATTTTTATCCCGCTTGCTGAAGAAACCAGCCTCATTTCAGATATTGGTTTAATTGTATTGCATGAAACCTGTAAGCAAATACAGCAGTGGCAATCCCTTGGTTTTGATCATTTTAGGGTTTCGATCAATATTGTGGCACAACAAATTTACCGCGGACAGTTGGTTAAAGATATCGATTATGCCCTTAAAAAATATAATATTTCAGGTGATATGCTTGAACTGGAACTTACTGAATCTTCTTTGTTTGATAAGTCAGAAGAAGTTAATTTTCTCCTACAACAATTAAAAGATCGCCATATTTCTATTTCTTTGGATGATTTTGGAACAGGCTACTCATCTTTAGCTTATCTAACCAGTTACCCTTTTGATATCTTAAAAATAGATCGTGCTTTTATTTCAAAAATTGGACAAGAAAAAGACGAAGCGATCGTCAATGCAATTATTGCTATGGGCAATGCAATCGGCATTACCTTGGTCGCTGAAGGCGTTGAAACTAAAGAACAAGCGTTATTTTTACAAAAACACGGTTGTTATATTTTACAAGGCTTTTACTTTTCCAAAGCATTGTCATCTGCGGACAGCACAAAATATTTGGAACAGCATAAACTTATAAAGATTTGTTAATTTTTTTAGACTTTATATCTATTACTTTGTTTGAAATAACTATTTTTTGACTGTCGGTATCGCTCAACAAATGTTATATTCGATGAAATTTAGTCAAACCACCAGCCTCGCTGGAACATGTAATAATCGAGATTCAGATGGATGATCAATCTTTAAAACAGCAAGCCCTTTACTATCACGAATTTCCAACACCAGGAAAAATTAGCGTTACGCCAAGTAAGCAACTTGTCAATCAACATGACCTTGCGCTTGCTTACTCACCAGGTGTGGCAGCGCCTTGTTTAGAAATTGAAAAAGACCCTTCAAAAGCAGCGCTTTATACTGCTCGTGGCAACTTGGTTGCAGTGGTCAGTAATGGTACAGCCGTTTTAGGTCTAGGTAATATTGGTCCATTAGCATCTAAGCCTGTAATGGAAGGCAAAGGCGTATTATTTAAAAAGTTTGCTGGTGTAGACGTTTTTGATATTGAAATTGCTGAAAATGATCCTGACAAAATTGTGGATATCGTTGCGGCTTTAGAACCGACTTTTGGTGGTATTAACCTCGAAGATATTAAAGCACCAGAGTGTTTTTATATTGAGCAAAAGCTTCGTGAACGCATGAAAATCCCTGTGTTTCATGATGACCAACACGGTACTTCAATTATCGTAGGTTCAGCCCTTCTCAATGCTTTGCAACTCAATGGCAAAAAAATTGACGAAATCAAAATTGTTGCTTCAGGTGCAGGTGCTGCGGCACTTTCTTGTTTAGACTTGCTATGTGCAATTGGTGCTAAAAAAGAAAATATCGTGGTTGCTGACTCTCGCGGTTTATTGACCACTAAACGTGAAGGCTTGGATGAGTCTAAAAAGCGTTATGTGCAAGATATTGAGGGTACTCAACTTGCAGATGTGATTGCAGATGCAGATATGTTCCTTGGCCTTTCTGCGGCAGGCATTTTAACCAAAGAAATGGTTAAAGTTATGGCGGCTGATCCAATCATCTTTGCATTGGCAAACCCAGATCCAGAGATTTTACCTGAACATGCGCATGAAGTACGTCCAGATGTAATCATGGCTACTGGTCGTTCAGATTATCCGAACCAAGTAAACAACGCGCTTTGCTTCCCTTATATCTTCCGTGGTGCGCTAGATGTTGGCGCTACGACGATTAATGAAGAAATGAAAATTGCTTGTGTACATGCAATTGCACGTATGGCACATGTTGAAGCGGATGCCGCATCTTATGGTGAAAAATCTGCATCATTTGGTCGTGATTACTTAATTCCACGTCCACTTGATCAACGCTTAATTCTTGAAATTGCTCCTGCTGTTGCACAAGCTGCAATGGATTCAGGTGTTGCAAGTCGCCCAATTGCGGATTTCTCGGCTTATCGTCAACGTCTATCTGAATTTGTTTATAATTCAGCATTGATGATGAAACCAATTTTTGCACAAGCGAAAACTGCGCCTAAACGTATTGCATATGCTGAAGGTGAAGATCTACGTGTATTGCGTGCGATTCAAATCGCAGTAGATGAAGGTTTGGCACAACCTATTTTGGTCGGTCGTACTGCAGTCATTGAAGCAAATATCAAAAAATTAGGTTTGCGTCTTGAACACGGTGTAAATATTACCATCGTAGATCAAGAAAAGAATCCTGATTACGATAAGTTTGCAGATGACTATTACAACTTGATGCAACGTAAAGGTGTAACGCCTGAGTATGCACAACGTGAAACACGTCGTCGTTCTACCTTGATTGCAGCAATGTTGGTTCGTCATGGTCTTGCAGATGGTATGCTATGCGGTACTTATGCAAGTTATGATATCCATTTAGACTTTGTGAGAAATGTGATTGGTTTAAAAGAAGGTCGTAATAACTTCTTTACGCTTAATGCATTGATGCTTGAAGATCGTAATATCTTTATGGCTGATACTTATGTAAATACCAACCCTACTGCTGAACAGCTTGCTGAAATGACTATTTTAGCTGCTGAAGAAGTTCGTCGTTTCGGTATGACGCCAAAAGTTGCATTACTTTCGCATTCTAGCTTTGGTTCAGATCAAAATGATCCAAGTGCACAAAAAATGCGTAAAGTATTTGAAATCTTGACTGAAATCGCACCTGAATTAGAAGTAGATGGTGAAATGCATGCAGATGCTGCACTTGATGAAAATATTCGTCATTTTGCATTCCCAAATTCACGCTTCAAAGGTTCAGCGAACTTGTTGATTATGCCAAATCTTGATGCGGCAAATATTTCATTCAACTTGTTAAAATCAACATCAGGCAATAATGTGACTATTGGTCCTATCTTGCTTGGTGCTGCTAAACCTGTGCATATTTTAACACCTACAGCGACAACACGTCGTTTAGTTAATATGACAGCTTTAACCGTTGCTGAGATTCAACAAGCTGAAGGCTAAGCTTGAAGTCAATTTAACATCAATACCGCAGAACTTTAGTCAATCACTCAAGTTCTGTACTTGAGAAAACCTCTATTCTGTTGCATGATGGCAGTAAGAATAGAGGTTTTTTCATGCAAGTTTATTTAGTAGGCGGTGCCGTTAGAGATCATTTACTCGGTCATCCCTATCACGAAAAGGATTATGTTGTTGTTGGCGCTACGCCAGAGCAACTTCTTGCCCAAGGTTATCAACCCGTTGGGAAAGATTTCCCTGTGTTTTTACATCCCAAAACAAAAGAAGAATATGCCCTAGCCCGTACTGAGCGTAAATCAGGACACGGTTATCATGGATTTGAGTTTTTTACCGATTCAGATGTCACCTTAGAAGAGGATTTAATTCGTCGTGACTTAACCATCAATGCCATTGCGATGGATGAAGCAGGTCAAGTGTATGATCCTTATCATGGACAAGATGATTTAGCGCATAAAATCCTACGTCACGTTTCAGACGCTTTTGCAGAAGATCCGTTACGCGTACTGCGTGTGGCTCGTTTTGCTGCTCGTTATGCACAATATGGTTTTCGTATTGCCGATGAAACACTTGCATTGATGCGTCAACTGGCTGAATCTGGCGAATTAGAAGCACTGACACCTGAACGTGTTTGGAAAGAAACCTCTCGTGCTTTAATGGAACGTCATGCGGATGTTTACTTTGAAGTGTTACGTGAGTGTGGTGCATTAGAAGTACTCTTTCCTGAAATAGATGCCCTGTTTGGCGTTCCACAACGACCTGAATATCATCCTGAGATTGATTGCGGTATTCATACACTGATGTCTTTACAGCAAGCATGTAAAGCCAATTATTCTTTAGATGTTCGTTTTGCCGTATTGGTACATGACTTGGGCAAAGCTTTAACACCGAAAGATGAATTACCTCGTCATATCATGCATGAAGAACGTGGGATTCAGCCTGTCACAGATGTATGTGATCGTTTACGTGTGCCTACTCAAACGAAACAGCTTGCTCTAGCAGTATGTAAAGAACATTTAAAATGTCATCAGGCTTTTACCTTAAAACCAGGCACCTTATGGCGTTTATTACAGCGTTTAGATGTGCTACGTCGTCCTGAGCGTGTTGAAGCTTTTGCACAAGCCTGTGAATGTGATGCTAAAGGCCGTTTAGGTTTAGAAAATCGTGAATACCCACAAGCGCATTACCTATTAGATGCAATGAAAACTGTACGCACGATTAAAGCATCGGATTTACCCTCAGATATTCAAGGTCCTGATATTGGTGAAATGTTGATTCAAAAACGTATTGAAGCGATTGCTGATTTAAAGCATGAGTTAGGTCATCATCATCATACGGTATAAAAAAATGCCTCTCAGTAATGAGAGGCATTTTTAGATTTTAGATATCGTATTTTCTTTTAAATAATATCCAATCATTCATTGACCATAGCATGAATAAATATCTACCTATGGTCCAAAATGACTTTATATCAAGACACATCCGCAGGAAATGTAATCACCTTTTCCAACTTCATTTGGTTCATCACCACCATTAACAAACGATCAATTCCCAAAGCTATACCCGCACATTCCGACATATTCGGTAAAGCAGCGAGCAAATACTCATCGATTGGCATCACATGTAGGCCCAGCTTTTCACGCTCTGCATTATCTGCTTGAAAACGACTACGCAAAACCTCAGCATCAATCAACTCATCATAGGCATTGGCGAGTTCTAACCCTTCAATATAGAGCTCAAAACGTGCAGCAACGAACTCACCATCCTCATCCAGTTTGGTCTTTGCCAAAGAGGCCAATTCTGGGGGAAAATCAGTTAAAAATACTGGCGTATCAAAACCTAAACTTGGCTCAACCATATGAGAAAATAACAAATCAATATAGGCCAAACGATCATCACCCAAATCCAGATTGAGTCCTACACGGTGTGCCGCATCTTTTAATTGTTGCAATGTTGCTTGCAGTGGATTCAAGTCCAAACGATCGATAAATGCATTCTTATAACTGAGTACGGTTGGTCGAACTTCACCAAAACGTTCAGCCAAAACCACATTTAATAAATCAGTGACTTCTAGCATCAAATCTTTCAAGCTGAATTGAGGACGATACCATTCCAACATGGTAAATTCACTATTGTGCTTACGCCCATGTTCATCATCTCGAAAAACTTTACAAATTTGATAAATCGCACCACTACCACTCGCCAATAAACGCTTCATGGCAAACTCTGGTGAAGTTTGTAAATAATGCGTTTGTTTTTTGCCATGTACATGACGCTGAGCCTGTACAGAAGCCAGATGGACATCGGTTACACCTGCTTGAGACAAGATCGGAGTTTCAACCTCTAAAACATCACGCTCAATAAAAAATTGGCGAATTTGTCTATAGAGTTTTGCTCGTGCTTTAAGCGCCTGAATATCACATGTTGGTTTAAAATCTATGCTCATGCTTTTGGTCCTCCATGAGCAGCCCATTCACGGCGCAAAGGATAAGTTTTACGAAGGTAATCAAAGGCTTTTTGATCCACCTTGCCGTCCTTTAAGCAATCTCTTAAATTTTCATCATCTCGCTGAATATTGTAAATTTCAGCTAAGTATTTTTTTAACGTTTGTTTAATGTTATTGCCATAAAAATATTGTTCACATGCCGGTAATTGTGATTCAAATTTCTTATGTGCGGTATAGGCAAATGTTTTACAAAATGCGTCATAAATCATCTGAGTACCACGTGCTTTACCTTCCAAACTGTAACCCGCAATATGTGGCGTCACGATTGTAATTAAATCCAGTAGACGTTGTGAAATCTCAGGCTCATGTTCAAAAACATCCAACACCACTTTACGACGTGTTTTTAAGATATCTGCCATTAATGCTGCTTCTTCAACAACAGCACCACGCGCTGAATTAATTAAAATGGTCTCTGGCTGCATTAGCGCCAATGCATTAGCATTGATTAAATGATGTGTTGCAAACGACCCTGTTTGGGTTAAAGGCACATGTATGCTGATCGCATCGGCTTTCTTTAATAAAGCGTCAAATTCAACTTGCTGAACATTTTCTCGTTGTACCAAGGGATCATAGCCAATTACATTCCAGCCCAACAACTGAGCCATATATGCTAATCGTGTTCCCACATTGCCTAGACCAATAATGCCTAAAGTAAACTTTTTCCCTAAATCTAGAAAATCCTGATTGAGATGCAATAAAGCTGTAATCACATATTCTGCAACGGCTTGTGCATTGCAACCTGCTGCATTTGACCATGCAATTTGATGCTTTTCTAATGCTGAAATATCTAGATGATCTGTACCTATGGTTGCACTACCGACAAATTTTAGTGCTGTATCTTGGACCAACTGTTCATTGACTTTTGTTATAGAGCGTACCAATAACGCATCTGCATCATTCACATCATGATGAGTCAAATTGCGTCCTGCTGCTTGATGAATGGTTCCAAATTCTGAAAAGAAATATTCAGTAAATGCTAGATTTTCATCTGCAACAATTTTCATAGCGTCATCCACAAGTTTAACTGTCACTATGATAAACCTTTGAACCACTTAAGACTATGCAGTTCACACATCAAATCTTTTAAATATGGCATAAAAAAACCCGCAAGATGACTTACGGGTTTTTAATTCTGAATATTTGTTTAGAACAAACGATTCATACCATTCAATGTTGCAACACGATAGGCTTCTGCCATTGTTGGATAGTTAAATGTCGTTTCAACAAAATACTTAATGGTATTGTTTCCACTTTGCATCACTGCCTGTCCAATATGAATAATTTCGGCCGCATTATTGCCGAAACAATGCACACCTAATAACTCTAAGGTATCACGATGGAATAACAGTTTAAGTTCACCAACTGTATCCCCTGTAATTTGCGCACGTGCCAAATGACGGAATGATGCTTGTCCAACTTCATATGGAATTTTTTCAGCAGTTAACTGACTTTCAGTTTTACCAAAGAATGAAATTTCAGGGATGGTATAAATCCCCGTTGGAATGTCTTTCACTGGTTTAACATTTTCTTCGCCGCTCATATTTGAACCAGCGCAACGACCTTGGTCATATGCTGCAGAAGCAAGGGATGGCCAACCCACAACATCACCTGCTGCATAGATATTTTCAACTTCGGTTTGATATTGATCATTTACCGCAAGTTGCCCACGGCTGTTTGGTGTAATACCTACATTTTCAAGACCTAAACCATCGGTATTTCCTGAACGGCCATTACACCAAAGAATGGCATCAGCTTTAATTTTTTTACCGCTTTGCAAATACAAGACCACATGATCATCAAACGTTTCTAAATGATCAATTTGCTCATTGTGACGCATCAACACGCCTTGTTCACGTAAGTGATAAGACAACGCGTCAGCAATTTCATCGTCGAGATAACTGAGCAGCTGATGCTGTGTATTGATCAAGTCAACTTTATGGTCTAAACCAATAAAGATAGATGCATATTCACAACCAATTACACCCGCGCCATAAATAATAATTTTATGAATTGGGTAATCCAAATCTAAAATTTTATCTGAATCAAATACACGCGGATGATTAAAGTCTAAACCTTGTGGGTGATAAGGACGGCTACCTGTGGCAACCACAAGCTGTTTGAAAACTAAAGTTTCTTTGACACCATCTTCGCTAAAAATAATCACCGTATTTTTATCTTGGATATATGCGCGACCGTGAAATACATCGATATGGTTACGGTCATAAAAACGTGAATGTGTATCAACTTGCTGTTGAATCACTTTATGCGCATTACGCAAAACTTGCTTCATAGTGAATTGTTTCCAATCCCCTACTTTTTTAAACATTGGATCACGTTGGTAACGGATAATACTTGAAACTGTCTGACGTAAAGCCTTACTTGGGATGGTGCCGACATGGGTACAGTTACCACCAAGTTGCTCACGAATATCTACAATTGCAACACGCTTACCCGATTTAGCAAGCTTCATTGCCGCGCCTTCACCAGCAGGACCAGAGCCAAGTACGACCGCATCGTATTTCACAAATTTCCCACTAACGACTTCTTTCTTACGTGGCATTCAAAGCTCCTTATAGTAAATTCAGTCTATCTCTTGTCTTATGCGATATTATGACCTAAACCAAAACAATTTTCTGTATTTCGCATGCATATATTCTGTGATAACGACATTTAGTATATGAATAGTGTTTTTGCCCTATCTTTTTGCATTTCCGCTATAATGAGCATAATCTCCCCCGTAGAAAACAGTGGAAAAGTTGAATATGTCAGAGAACCGTAAACCAGAACAGGGTGTCAAATTACGTGGCGCGGAAAAAGTTGCTCGTATACCTGTAAAAGTTATTCCCACGGTTGAAGCACCACGAAAGCCGGACTGGATTCGTGTCAAAATGGCTGCGCCTGATGAAGTTCAACGAATCAAAACCACTTTACGTGCACAAAAATTACATACTGTGTGTGAAGAAGCAGCTTGTCCTAACCTTCCAGAATGTTTCGGTGGTGGTACTGCAACCTTTATGATCATGGGTGATATTTGTACCCGTCGCTGCCCGTTCTGCGATGTTGCACATGGTCGTCCAAATGCACTTGATCCTGATGAACCTCGTCATATGGCAGAAACCATCGCCAATCTTGGTTTAAAGTATGCAGTGATTACCTCTGTAGACCGTGATGATCTTTTAGATGGTGGTGCGCAACATTTCGTTGATTGTATTCAAGAAGCACGTCAACTCAGCCCAAAAACATTATTAGAAATATTGGTTCCTGATTTCCGTGGTCGTATGGATATTGCACTACGGATCATGACTGAATGTCCACCAGATGTATTTAACCATAACATCGAAACAGTACCTCGCCTCTATAAAGCGATGCGCCCGGGTTCAGACTATCAACACTCTTTAAACTTGTTAAAAATGTTTAAAGAATACTGCCCTGATGTGCCAACAAAATGTGGTTTGATGGTGGGTATTGGTGAAACCGAAGAAGAAGTGATTGCCCTGTTAGATGATCTACATGCACACGGTGTTGATTATGTGACAATTGGTCAATACTTACAGCCTTCTAAAGAACATGCACCAATTGACCGTTTTGTTACACCAGAAGAATTTGAGCGTTATACTGCACACGGTCACAAGCTTGGTTTCAGAAATATCTGGGCTGCTCCAATGGTTCGTTCAAGCTATTTTGCAGATCGTCAATATTATGGTGAACCTGTTCCAGTGGTACGCCGTAAAGTTGATCCTGCGAAAAAAATTGCGGTACAAGCCATCGAAGCTTAAGTCATTGTTCAAAAAAATTAAGCGTCCAAAAAGCACTCAATATTGAGTGCTTTTTTACAGATATTTTTGATCTTTAACGACACTTCCCTGTAGTTTTACCTTCAACACTGCTCATACTGCTTTGTAGTTTCGTCAGTGTAGAACATTGTAAGTTTCCTGAAATCATGGATTTATTTAAACTCAATGTTGACGATACCTGACCTGCAAACACATCCCCCTCAACAGAAGAATTGAGCAACTTTAATACTTTGGCGGTATTGGCTTGCACATTTCCACTCACTGAAGAGTTATTTAAAATCAAACTCCCACCATTGAGTACATTCACATTTCCCTCAACAGATGTACTATTTAAGGTACATGTTGCACCTGCTGGAACAGTTAAGTTTGCCACAGCATTATTGCTGATTGTACTTGAACAATTTGCAGCAAATCCAAGTGGAGCTATGCCTAAACCACATGCAATTGTGAAGAGCTTTAAGATAAGAAACGCTTTTTCATTGACATTACCCTTTTGTATTATGAATTTAGAATAAATTTATTGTTGGATGATTTTAAAATATACAGTTAGAAAGTTTAATGACAAATATGTTGATTTCTTTTAACTGGGAATCATGAATATAAAAATGGATGACGCTTTAGCTTATTTACCTCGTTTTACTGTTGTTGCAGATTTCGGTTGAAATAAATCATTGCTGATTTATCGACTTAGCGACTTTGACTGATTTCAAAATCAGAAAGTCGCTTAAATTAAAATAAATGTCTTTATTTTACTTTCTGCTCAAGTTCCTCAACGTAGTCTGCGTAATTCAACATTAAGCCCTTTCCAGTTAGATCCTCAGGGAGTAATTTAGTACAAAACCAATTGTCGGTCCAAGTATGATTTTGTGGGAAATATAAGCTTACTAGCTCACCTTTAACTTCTTTTTTGATCTCAGCAATAACCTTCTTTGTTTTTGCTGTCCCCATTTGTTTACTAAGATATTTGAATATCAGCTGTTGCAATTCCTTCTGGTAACGCCCGTGCTGTTGATACCACTGATCATACAAGTGTTGTAGTTCTGGCTCTGTCGATGGATCAAATTTCTTACATGAAGCAAGTGTTTTTGGAAACAAGGCTGGTACATCTAGATAAGCCGTATATAGAAACTGTAGTTTGCCTGTACCGTCTGCACGTGCAACAGATGTCGCCAAGAGTAGAATACAACACAAAAATATACTTGGCATATTGAAAAGAGATTTTTTCATATTATATTTTCCTTCTCACTGTCGAAGGTATCATTCGCACATCGCGTTAGACCACGACCAAGCACATACAAGACTAGATTTAAGCATTAACTACAAATAATCGGTTAATATTTTATTTATAAAAACTTAACAATAATCTTTGACTATATCATTTAAAAAACCACAAGGCTAAGGTTTGCTTCAGTTTTTTGACTACCTCAAATCATATTATATATAGTCGTATAAATCGCCAAGAACAGTCGGTAAGTTTAAATCTGACAAAATTTTTATAGGGTAGTTATCCAGTCAAATCAGTTTCTGACTTATGCAAGCATCTAAATAAAATAATCATTTAAATAAAATACGCATCATTTTTTTTAGACAGGCTCGTTTTGAGACCATTTCATTTGAAAACCTCTTAATAATACTATTTTATCTTTTTTAATTATCTATCTTATTGTTAAATCAATATTATTTTATTTTTAATACATCGTTAAATTTTAACGATTAATATAATTTTACATTTTTTTAACGGCAACACTTCAACTTGACCTTAACATAGTGATTTTAGTCTTAGTAAAAATTGATGATGAAAAAATTAACTTTAGCTATTTCAGCAACCCTATTTTCTGGGCTTTGTTTTGCCCAAAATCCATTAAGCGTACATGTATTAAATCTTGAAAATGGCTTACCTTCAAGCAATGTTAAAGTCATTCTCGAAGCGCAACAAAAAGATAAATGGGTAAAAATTAATGAAGGAAGCACAGACAGTAATGGGCGAATTTCATCCTTATACCCTGAAAACAAAGTATTAGATAAAGGTGTCTATAAGGTTACTTTTCAAACTGGTGAATGGTTTAAACAAAATAACCAACGTGCTTTTTTCCCAGAAGTTCCTGTGGTTTTTGTGATTGATGGAAGTCTTGAACATTACCATATTCCTCTCTTGATTAGCCCTTATGGATATTCAACATATCGTGGGAATTGATTGATCATACCAAGTTAAATTTTAGGCATAAAAAAACCGATGTTTTTTTAACATCGGTTTTTCTTGATACACAACTTAATTAAGTCTTTAACCATTTCTCAGCTTTGGCTTGATCTAATACAGTTAACTCAACCGTAGTCAACGCAACTTCGCCACCTTGCAACTCAAATTGTAAAAACTCATCACGGCGGAATGCATAAACCGTAAATTGACCTTGCTGTTTTGCATATTGGTTTAAAAGTTTTTCAGACGCTTTTAAACCATCAATCGCAATGATCACATCATTGGCAGACAGACCTGCTATTGCACCAACACCGTCACGACGCGCTTGCTGAATGATGACACCCTCAGCTTTTTCAGCAATTTTCAAACCAAATGGAAGTGCTTTTTCATTTTGTAAGCTATAGCTCAAACCAAATTCAGGGAACAATTGATCCAGTGGTAGCTCATCTGTGGTATTAATCAAATGATTAATCTGTTCGATCCAATTATCGCCAGTCAGTTCATTACACAGTTCGACAATCGTACGCTCATTGACTTGCATGCCCTTTTGGGTATTTTCATACAAACGGCGCATTAAGGCATCCAAACTAGAACCACGTAAACGTAGACCTAAATCTAAACTGAGTGCAACCAAACAACCTTTATTGTAATAACTGGTTCCAGCATTATTTGAGTTTTCATCCTGACGATAAAATTTAATCCAAGCATCAAAACTAGACTCTGAAACAGATTGAATAAAACGTCCTGGATTTTGTAGATAACGATCAATTTGCCCTTTTAACAACTTTAAATAAGATGCTTGAGAAATCACACCACTGCGATACAGAATCAAATCATCGTAATAAGAGGTGAAACCTTCAAAAATCCATAACAGTGAGGTGTAGCCTTCCTGATCCAAATCATAATTTGCAAAATTTTCAGGGCGAATAAATTTAACCAACCATGAATGAAAATATTCATGACTACACAACCCAAGGAAGCGTTGATAATCCGCAGAAGGCTCTACAGGTTCATTTGCTTTAGGAAAATCATCACGTGGCGAAATCAGGCTAGTACTATTAGGATGCTCTAAACCACCATAACTATTGCCAGTTGCCATAGTCATAAAAGTATAGTTTTCAAAAGGCGCTGAACCAAACATTGAAATTTCTGTACTACAGATTTTTTCAAGGTCTTGCTTCATACGCGCTGCATTCATTGTATGCTGACCAGAAACCACAAATTCATGTGGAATCCCGTTCGCTTCAAAACTAAAACGGGTTTGATCCGCCAATTCAAATGGTGCATCAATCAATTGTGCATAATTGTTGGCTTTTAAGGTATAGCGCCCTTTCACCAAGCTTCTTGATTCTAAACCTGTGGCAATTTGAAAATGCTTTAATTCTTCAGGTAAAAATACTTCAACTTCGATTGCTGATTCTTCTTGGTCTTGTAGCCCTAGGCAGACACAAGCAGGATTGACATATAAACGGGTTTGATCGACATACGCGCCACGTACCGAAAGGTCATAGGCATAAACATCATATTCAACAGTAATCAGTTCATGGTCGGTGTTATATAAACGCCATTTATTTTTTTCAAACTTATTAATTTGCAGTTGACGACCCGCTTCATCATAGGCTTTCACAGATTCGATATGTTTAGAAAATTCACGGATCAAATAGCTACCAGGAATCCATGTAGGAAGTGACAAAACTTGGATAGGGTTCGCCAGAAAGCGCAATGTGACATGAATGAGGTGCTGACGGTAATCGTCAAATTCAATCTGATAATGCAACATAAATATATATTCGAAAATAGACAGTGAGAAATTACCAATTAGATTAGCATTTTTTTACAAAGTCAGGCGATTTTAGTCGAAATTGTCTACGATTCTGACTAGCGAAGAGTGCAAAAAAGGCATAGCATTCGCAAAGTTTATGCACTCTTGCCATAGGATTGGCTTAAAGGTAAATCTGTTGAAAATTCTTGCTTCTTTTATCGCGATAACTGGTTTGGTTTGCTCCACGTTTGTTAACGCCGCTTTACTTAATATTAATCCGCAATCTGTTGAAGCTGAAGCTTGGACAATATTAGATACGCAATCGGGTCAAACCATTGCTGAATATAATAGTCATGTACAGCGTGCACCAGCATCCATGACCAAAATGATGGTCGCCTATATTGCGTTGAAAGAACTCAAAGCAGGTCATATCAAAAAAGAAGAAATTATTACTGCAACCCCAGTAGTTCAGATGGTGCAATGGGATGAATCTCAAATGTACCTGAAGCAAGGTGAGCAAATCTCAATTGACCAACTTCTTGCTGGATTGATTGTGATGTCTGCCAATGATGCTGCTGTAACGCTGGCAGAACGCATCTCAGGTAGCGTACCTGCATTTGTTGCTCGTATGAATCAAGAAGCACAAGCCTTGGGAATGAAGGATACTCATTTTGCCAACCCTCCCGGTATTACCATGCCTGATCATTTTTCGTCAGCGCATGATATGGCGATCTTAGGTCAAGCAGTGACATCACAAACTCCTGAATATATGCATTATTCAGTGATGCCAAGTTTTAGTTATAACCAACATTTTCATCATGCCACCAACCTTGTTTTAAAGTCTGATCCAAGTGTAGATGGCTTAAAAACAGGTTTTACCAAAGCAGCCGGTTATAACTTAGCACTGACAGCGCATCGTCCTTCTGCTATTACAGAGTCTCCTGATCGTCGTTTAATTGTGGTGGTAATGGGTGCAAAAAGTGCAGTTAAACGCGCGGAAATTGCACATAAACTGTTAAACTTGGGCTATGCCTACACCCGTGATGAAGTCGCAATTAAAGACAAACAGCTGATTGCTGAGCTTCCTGTAGTTAAATCCACCTTGAAAATGTTTAAAGTTGAAGCAAAAAAACCTCAACTCATTACCACATCTTTATATAGCGATGCGACACCAATTGATTTAGCGACTTTTGATGTTGTAAATAGCCGTATTATGAAAACTGAAGCAAATGGTTTATTGGCAACAGTTGAACCGCTTACAACAACTCAAACCCATTTGAATGTTGAACTGAATGAGACATCACTTACCGCGCCTTTAGAAAAGATCATGCATTTGGCAAAAGTGAATGTTTACCAAAACAATCAACTGATTCAAAGTTTTGATATTGAAGATGAAGTGCATATCGAACAAGCCTCTTGGTTTGAACGTTTAATGGAATGGATCAAGTCAATTTTTGGGATTTAATTAAAACCAACCAATTTACTTAGATTTATTATAATTATGTAACCTGTAATACAAAAAAAACCTAAACAATTAAATAGAATGGCATATTTATGCCATTCTATTTTCATAACAACAATTTAGGTTTTCTATGTCAAATCTACATCATATCGTGATTGTTGGTGGTGGCGCTGGTGGTTTAGAACTGGTGACACAACTCGGTGATACGCTTGGAAAGAGTAAAAAAGCCAAAATCACCCTTGTTGACCAAAAACTCACCCATATCTGGAAACCATTGCTGCATGAAATTGCAGCTGGCACCATGAACCCAAGTGATGAAGAAACCAATTACTATGCGCATGCAGCCAAGCATCACTATGAATTTGTCTTGGGCCGTTTTGAACATTTAGATCGTGATAACAAAACCATCGAGCTTAGCAAAACCCAAACCAGTAAATATGAATCCAATCAAGAGCAAATCACACTGCATTATGACACTTTAATTCTGGCCGTCGGCTCAGTCTCCAATGACTTTAATACGCCTGGGGTTAAAGAGTTTTGTCATTATCTCGACAGTCGTCAACAAGCAGAAGTCTTCCAGCAGGACTTACTGCACTTGTATTTAGATGCACAAAATAAAAATATTGATCGTGAATTACACATTGCCGTGATTGGTGCAGGCGCAACAGGTGTTGAACTTTCAGCTGAGTTGGTTCAAGCCAAACAGAACTTTTATAAATATGGTTTAAATAAAATTAACCCAAACAATGTCAAAATTACTTTAGTTGAAGGCGCTGATCGTATCTTACCAGCACTTTCTGAAAAAATGGCAGAGCATGCCACACAGCAATTACAACGAATGAAAATAGATGTATTAACGGGCAAACGTGTTGAAAAAGTAGATGCTGAAAAAGTCTATTTTAGTGATGGCACTTCCGTAGAAGCGCAATTAAAAGTTTGGGCAGCAGGGATAAAAACCCCTAAAGTGATTGCCAATTTAGCAGGCTTTGAAAAAGATCGCATGGGACGTTTAAACGTATACGCAACCTTACAGACTCAGGCTGATCCAAACATTTTTGCCTTTGGTGATTGTGCCCACTGTATCTTAGATGCAAGAGAAGCACCACTTGGTCCACGTGCACAAGTCGCAAGTCAACAAGCTTCGTTTCTTGTAGATGCAATGAATGCACGTATCAAAGGGCGACCACAGCCAATGTTCCAGTTCGCAGACAAAGGCTCACTGGTATCACTCAGTGAAAATAAAGCGGTCGGTGAGCTACTTGGTCAGGTCAATGTTCAGGGCTTCGTGGCAAAATCGATGTATGTGTCTTTATATCGTATTCATCAAGCGACGATATATGGCTATGCTCATGCAGGCTTGTTAACGGCTAAAGATTTTGTTACACGAAAAATCGCGCCAAAAATAAAATTGCATTGAAATTTAAATTTTTGCCCATATTTATGAAAAAATGGTCAAAATACAGATGAAAATGCAATTTTTTAGTAATTTTAGTCTACAAAAATTGCTTTTCACTTTATGATGTAGCCTTAAAATTATCGATTACCGAATGGATCAATAACATGACTGCTATTGCAAATAACAACGTGGTTTCTTTCCACTATACGCTGACTAACGCTGAGGGTGAAACTCTCGATAAATCACAAGGTGAACCACTTGCATATTTACATGGCGCAGGTAACATCATTCCTGGTTTAGAAAAAGCTTTAGAAGGTAAAACTGTAGGTGACAAATTTACAGTCACTATCCCAGCTGCTGAAGGTTATGGCGAATATAACCCTGACCTCGTTCAAGAAGTTCCTGCTCAAATGTTCCAAGGTGTTGAGAACATTGAAGCTGGTATGCAGTTCCAAGCTCAAACTGATGATGGTGTTCAAATCGTTACTGTTAAAGCAATCGAAGGTGACAACATCATCGTTGATGCTAACTTCCCATTAGCTGGCCAAGATCTTACTTTTGAAGTTGAAATCGCAGAAGTTCGTGATGCTTCTCCAGAAGAATTAGAGCACGGTCATGTACACGGTGCAGGTGGTCATCACCACTAAGATCTGCTTGATCGGATCGAAAAGGCAAAGTTTTTACTTTGCCTTTTTTATGCGTATTGGTTTAAATTGATGAAAATCTAGTGTGAATGAGCCCATTCCAATAAATCCTATGCAAAAACAACTTCTTTGGTTTCGTCAAGACTTACGTATTCAAGACCATACTGCACTTTGGCATGCGGCGCAAAGCGGCCCTGTGATTGCACTGGTGATTCTTTCGCCTGAACAATGGCGGATGCATGACGATTCACCAATTAAGCTTGATTTTTATTTACGTCAAATTAAAGCCATTCAACAAGAACTTGCTTCTATTCAAATTCCGCTGATTATCCACACTGTTCCCTTATGGGAAAATATTGCAACAGAGATCGATAAACTCTGTCACAAACTGGACATTGAAAATGTACACGCCAATATTGAGTGCGGTGTCAATGAATTAAATCGAGATTTCCAAGTTCAAACACAACTGAATCAAAGTAACCGTGATTTGGTTTTATATCATGATCGCACTCTGTTCCCTGTCGGTTCAATTCGCAATAAATCCAATCAACCCTATCAAGTCTTCGGCGCATTTAAAAAATACTGCTATGAACAACTGAGTATTTCGATCCCGCAATGCTTCCCTATCCCAGAGACTCAAGCCTTAAATGATGCAATAGATGTGGGCGAGTTGAATAACAATAGCCTGCCGACTTTGGCCGAGCTTGGTTTTATATTCAATCCGAATCAGATCAACAAGCAGTGGCAAATTGGCGAACAATATGCCTTGAATGTCTTGGATGATTTTATTGAAAACAAAGTCCGTCATTATCAACTCGAGCGTGATTTTCCCCAAATTGAAGCCACCAGCCAGCTCTCAGCCTATTTAAATATAGGCATCCTTTCAATTCGACAGTGTTTCAATGCCCTCTTTCGAGCACAATTCGGACATTTTTCTATTGATCATGTTGGTCAACAAACATGGCTCGATGAGCTACTTTGGCGTGAGTTTTATCAGCATATCCTGTTTGATTTCCCGCGTGTGTCAAAGCACTTGCCCTTTAAAATGCCAACACAGCAGCTACAATGGCGCGATGCCCCAAATGATTTAAGCGCTTGGCAAACAGGTCAGACAGGGATTCCTATCGTCGATGCAGGTATGCGCCAGTTACTTCACACAGGCTGGATGCATAATCGGATCCGTATGGTTGTCGCCATGTTTCTCACCAAGAACCTATTGATTGATTGGCGTTTAGGTGAGCAATGGTTTATGCAACATCTTATTGATGGGGATTTGGCTGCCAATAACGGCGGATGGCAATGGTGTGCATCCACAGGAACTGATTCCGCACCTTATTTCCGTATTTTTAACCCTATCAGCCAATCGCAGAAATTCGATGCACAAGGTGACTACATTCGACAGTGGGTTCCAGAACTTGCACATTTAGACGCAAAAACCATTCATGAACCTTATGCAAAAAATCCCAATATTGAGCTCAATTATCCAAAGCCAATTGTGGATTTAAAACAAAGTCGTATTCGAGCAATTGAAGCTTTTAAGCAGATTTAAAATCTCACTTAAAAGCGTTCTCAATGGTTTGATTAAATCGCGTGTTGAATCAATTTAAACGGATTTTGAGGATGGTTTTTTGGGCGTTCAATCGATTCAAAATAGCAGTAATATTTAAAGATGCGATCCAAAGAAACATAAAGCACTTTTTGTTCTGAAACTGACCAGATTTGCGCATGGTTAGAACCTGATAAGGTACTTCCACTCAATTGAAACAGATAAAAATCTTGTGTACGTTGAATGCGTTTTTGAGTAGCTTGCGTGTTTGAACTTGATGAAACCTGACTGGATGAATTTAATAATCGACACGGTGTATTAATTAGCCATTTTTCACTAAACCAAAGTTGTAACAGATCGCCCAAATACAGTTTTTTTTCAGTAAATGGCCAAACATCTAAATAGGCTTGTTCAACTTGGATAAAATATTGTTCAGAATCTTGCAGGATTGAAAGATAATTTTCTTGATAGAATGAGAAGTTTTCAAAAATTTGAGAAATAGTAAGCGTATTCATTCGCTGTCTCCTGTTTAGCCATTTAGTGCTGGCAAGTTGGTTTTAAATCCACACTGTTTAAGTCAAACTTAAACACTCTTTATGGTTTTAATCTAACAAGACCGTTTCACTATTGCAACTGTCAGAATCAATTTTTTTAAATTATCTATAGATTGCTCAAATAAAAACCATACAGTGTACAAATGAAGAAAAGATGACAGGAAAGGCTTGACCCATAAAGATATATCCTTATAATCGCATTCAGATTCTCCAATAGCTCAGTCGGTAGAGCGACGGACTGTTAATCCGCAGGTCCCTGGTTCGAGCCCAGGTTGGAGAGCCAAATTCTAAAAGCCCACTCATTGAAGTGGGCTTTTTTTATTTCAGGACTAGACACTGGGTGTGACAAATAGACAAGAATACCCATCCACTTTTATAGGTTAGTATCATTCCATGTTTGTTGCTGGAAAAACTCAGCTAACTCTTCAATAAAAACGCGTACACGAGCAGGCATGACCTTTTGCGCCTGCCACACAGCATAACCATCTCGAATCGGTAATTGCCAATCAGGAAGCACCCTTTTTAATCTGCCTGAATTCAAGGCATCTTCACATTGAGTCAATGGAACATAACTTAATCCTAGTCCTTGTTCTGCTAGATTTACACATAAACTGATTTCATTCACTTTCAAACGATACGACTGAATTTTAAATGTATAACTGTGTTGATGTTGCCTAAGTTCAAGTTGTTCTAAGGGAGATACCAATAACCAGTCTTGTTGATCTAAATCTTGTGGTGACTGAATGAGATGCCGATCTAAATAATCTGGTGATGCCACAATACAGGTTTGAACACTTCCCAGCCGCTTTTGAATATAGGCACTATTGGCCATTTTACCTACGCGTAAGGCGAGATCTGCCCCCTGAGCCATTAAATCATCTAAAGCATTGTCCAGTTGTAATTCAAGTTCAATCTCTGGGTATCTTTGTAGAAAGGTATTCCAAAACTGTTTTAACGGAAATATTGCCAGATTCATCGGTGCTAGAATTTTGATTTGACCTTTAACCTGCGTAGTTTCCTCTTTTATTTCATGGGTATTTTGCAGTAACGCTCTAACTAAGGGCTGACAGCGATCGTAGTAACGTTGCCCTTCCTGAGTCAATTTCAAACCTCGGCTGTTCCTGTGTAATAGCTTACACCCCAAGCTCTCTTCTAATTTTTGCAAGCGACGCGTCAGTGTAGCTGCGGGTATATTCTGTTGTTGTGCAGCCCTATTAAAACTTCCCGCCCCAACAATTGCGATAAATAAACTCAGATCATCTAACATTTCATTTTTGGAATTTAAAACCATCAATAATGACTATTCTATAAAAAATGAAATTTAAGCACAATCTCTCTATTGTTTTTTCATAGGCTCAAAATATGTCATCTCAATTTTACATATTCGCTATTTTATTGGGTCTGTTCTTTAACAGTCCTCTCACACATGCACAAAATAAAAATTCATCTGAGGTCACCATGCAGCAGCAGCACGCATCAGCACCAAATACCTTATTACGCCCTATCAACCCAACATACGCCACAATTCCCAATGTTTCACAGGCAATCATTGTAGAACAAGGACAACCGATGTACTTATCTGGGCATGTCCCTATCACAGAAAATGGAGACATCTTACAGGCTGGTCTTGAACAGCAACTGCACTTGGTTTTTCAAAATATTGAAAAAACATTACATCAAGCGAATGTGAGTACTCAACAACTGGTCAAACTGACCATCTATGTCCGTAATTTACAACCTGATCAGCTTGCAACAATTCGTAAAGTTCGTGATCAATTTATTCATGCTGAATTGCCACCAGCAAGTAGCCTGATTGGTGTTGCACAGTTATTTCATCCAGATGTTTTGGTTGAAGTCGAAGCTATTGCCGTGATCCCCCCAAACAAAACTTCAAATTTTTAGGGCGTCAATCATATGAAATATGCATTCATTCTCAGTAGTACACTACTGATCACATCATGTTCTGCAAATGATACCGCAGCAATAATCACAACGACGCAGGAGAACAATATGACTCACTTTTTGTCTGAATTTTTACCCTCGCATTATCAAAAAGTGTATCAACAAGAAGTGCTGAGTGACCAACAGCATGCGCAATTGGTCCGCTATCAGAAATTACCATTACTCAAACTGAATGGCGAAAATTTCAGTTATTTATCGGATCAAAAAGGAGATTTAAAAGGATTTTCATATTTAGATGGAAACCTTCTCAACGGTCATTTACCCACAAAAGCTCAAGCGCAAAAAATCAGTGATGACTTTTTACAGCACTATGCACCAGACTTACTGCAACATCGGGAAATTCATTGGATTGATCAGCATAATGAAAACGTGCACATCAATGGAAAAACACAAAAGATTGCAGGCATAAAAGTCAAAATGCGCAACTTAAATGATGGTCGCTGGTTTTGGGTCATTATTGGTAAAAATCAACGGCCTATTATTTTTGAAAGGGATATTGCCTGGGTCAGTTTTCCTGGCCACCGCAAAACTGAAAAATGGTTACATGATTCATGGGCTAAAGATCACCTCATCATTAACGGTCAATCAAAATGAAAAAATTAAGTCAAACACATCTTAAAATTTCACCAATGGGTTTAGGCTGTATGGGAATGAGTGAGTTTTATGGTCAAACTAATGATCAGGACTCATTACAGATTTTGGAACAAGCATTTCATGCAGGTATTAATTTTTTTGATACTGCGGATACTTATGGTCATGGGCACAATGAACTGTTATTGGGGCAATTTATTGCACACTATCGAACTGAACGAGAGGCAATGGTGATTGCGACCAAATTCGGTATTGTCCGTGCTGAAAATCACTATAAACGCCGTATTGATAATACGCCAGATTATATCCGTAGTGCCTGTGAGGCTTCATTAAAACGCTTAGGTATTGAACAAATTGATTTATATTATTGTCATCGGAGACAACCTGAAATCCCAATTGAAGATGTTACTGGTACGCTTGCAGATTTGGTTCAAGAAGGCAAAATCAAAAGTTTTGGCTTTTCTGAAATCTCAGCGCAATCCTTAGAAAAAGCCTGTGCTATTGCGCCTGTTACTGCAGTCCAAAGTGAATATTCACTCTGGTCACGTGAACCTGAACAAAGTTTATTAAATACTTGTCAGCAACTGAATGTTGAGTTTGTTGCTTATAGTCCCTTAGGACGTGCATTTCTCACAGCAGATTTAAATCCAGAAACAATGGCTGAGAATGATTTCAGAAAAAACTTACCCAGATTACAGGGTGCAGCCTTTCAGTCAAACCAGCTATTACTGAAAAAATTTAGCGACTTATGTCAGTCATGGCGACACAGCAATGCACAAATTGCCTTAGCTTGGTTACTGCGCAAACATGCTCATGTCACCCCAATTTTTGGAACACGACATTTAAATTATTTACAGGATAACCTTAAAGCCAATCAGATTAGCCTCACGAATGAACAAATTCTACAACTTGATCAGCTTTTTGCACCTAACCAGATACAGGGTGAGCGTTATCCAGATGCAGGCTGGACAGGTATCGAAACTGCTTAAAGCAACAGTTCCATCTGGTTTTTATTAAACAGCACAACGAAATAGACCAAAGCAATGCTTTGGTCTATTTTTTAAATTTAGTTTTTAATCAGGCAAGCAGTTAAACTGGCACACCGCTATGGAAACGAAAAGTCTTATCAGGCGTTAAAATCAAATCCTTCTCCACTTCACGAATCAATTCGATGCGTTGCTGAATATCTTCTTCTGGATCTTTTAATTTAGCAGTTTTAGCAACATCTAAAGCCAAAGTTAAATAGTCCTCATAGTGGCGAGATTCAGATTTCAACAAGTAACGGTAATAACGTCCCAGCTCATCATCTACTAAAGGTGCTAAAGCATAAAATCGCTCACAAGAACGTGCTTCAACAAACGCACCAATCACCAAAACATCAATCAAAGCTTCTGGTTCATAAGTACGAATTTCTTTACGCAAACCACCTGCGTAACGACCTGCACTCAGACCTTTCCATTCTTGACCACGCTTGGTCATAAACTCTAACACTTGTTCATAATGCAACATTTCTTCACGCACAAGTTGTGCTAATTTGATCTGCAAATCGGTAAAAAAACTGTAGCGAAACATCAAGTTCATTGCTGTTCCAGCCGCTTTCTTTTCACAATTCGCATGATCCTGCATGAGCAATGGGAGATTGTTCAATGCCTCATCCAACCATGCCTTTGGCGTTTCACAGCCTAAAAAAGCAATCACAGGTTGCATAAGCTCATCATAATTCATATTCGACATGATCAATATTCAACAACGTAAATCAAAAATTAAATTAACCAGCTGCATGAAGTGCGGCCTTCATGTCCTTTACAGCTTGTTCCAATCCAACAAATACACTTTCGGCAATAATCGAATGTCCAATATTGAGTTCATGAATCTGAGGAATTGCAGCAATTGCAGCCACATTGTCCAAATTCAAACCATGACCAGCATTAACGACCAAACCTTTAGATGCGGCGTACTCAGTACCTTTAATAATTCTTTCGAGTTCAATCTGTTGAGCTTCAGCAGTTTTAGCGTCTGCATAAGCACCCGTATGTAATTCAATAGTGGGTGCACCACAAGCAATTGCAGCATCAATTTGTGCAAAATCAGCATCAATAAACAAAGATACATCACAACCAATTGCAGTTAATGCCTGAGTCGCAGCTTTAACATCTTCAAAATGCCCAAGCACGTCTAAACCACCTTCTGTGGTGATTTCTTGACGTTTCTCTGGCACGAAACACACATGATGTGGTTGAATCTCTTTTGCAAATGCAACCATTTCATCAGTTACAGCGATTTCCAAGTTCATTCTTGTCGTCAATACAGGTCGCATACGGCGCACATCATCATCTTGAATATGACGACGATCTTCACGTAAGTGTAAAGTGATGCCTTCCGCCCCTGCTTGTTCGCAAATTAATGCAGCTTTCACAGGATCAGGATAAGTCGTTCCACGTGCTTGTCTGAGTGTTGCAACATGGTCAATGTTTACACCTAGCAATGCAGCCATAACATTCTCCTAATTAACCAATAAAATAAAATTAACGGCTCAACGTTTTAGATTGAGCGTTTTGAACCCAAAGCTGACGACTTTTTAATGGTCGATCACCTAAAAGTGAAGTAATCATTTGTCGATAGAGTTTAGCCAATAATTGTAACTGCTCTGGGCTAAAATCCCTACCCTTTTCATAATTTGCCATGCTTAGAATTTGTTGGCCCAGCAACGTCCCAGACGAGGTATATGACACTGGTGTAAAGCCTTCGGCCAATTGAAATTGATAACGTTGGGTCAGCATAATCTCTTGTTGATTTGAATCATGCCCATAATCCAGTGGATAGCCCAACTCTTCTAACAGTGCGTGTTCAAACTGGCGTAAAATTTGTCGAAGAAATAAATCAGCTTGTGGATGTTCAGCCAATTTTTGTAAATGTTGTAAAGTTAAATGGTATTGCTGAAATGTTTCAGACATCATTTCTTCAAGCGGACATAAACGAAGCAGCAGTTCATTTAAATAAAAGCCTGAAAAGAAAGCATCCCCATAAAAGAAAATCGGTTGATTGAGTATTTCGAGTTTTGAAAAGTTTTTAAGTTCGGATTTTCCCGACGCTTGTAAAGTAATCGGTTGGTATTGTGGTGGTGGGGTTTGTCTAAGAATACCGTCGACACGACCATGCTCTTGTGTAAATAAGTGCACAATATGACTACGTTCTCTGTATTTTCGATGATGGATTAAATAACCATGCAAGATTTCATTACGCATCTAGCTTGAACTTAATCATCCTTTTGTTTTTTCTTATCATCGTCATCATCCCCATCAGGAATAACAGCGCCTACAACCGCAGCAGTGCCTTTAACCACGCCTTTGGTGGTTTTATAAGCAACTTTGACGGGAACTGTCACAATTTTAGTGATACAGCCTTGTAACATGATTATGCAAGCAAGAATTGCTATAACTCGAATCATTTCAGTTCCCAAAAAGTCAATTAAATATCGCTGTAGCCTAAACTTTTTAAAGCACGTTCGTCATCAGACCAACCGCCTTTAACTTTCACCCAAAGTGTTAGCATGATTTTTTGCTCAAACATTTTTTCCATGTCGACACGAGCATCCATACCAATTTTCTTCAGCTTAGCACCTTTTTCACCGATCACGATGGCTTTTTGCCCAGGGCGATCAACAAAAATTGTGGCATCAATATAAGTACATGCAGCTTTAGGACGACCAGTTTTTTCATTCACTGTCGCTTCTTCTGTTTTAAATGATTCAATTTGAACCGTTAAATCATAAGGCAGCTCTTCGCCTAACTGACGCATAATTTTCTCACGAATGATTTCACTGGCAAGAAAACGTTCTGAACGGTCAGTTAACTGTTCTAAAGAATATAATGGTGGCTGGAATGGTAGATACTTTTCAATCGCTTCACGCAAATGATCCAAGTTTGCACCACGTAATGCTGAAACAGGAACAATTTCAGCAAAATTCATCAACTTCGCACGTTCTTGGATCAACGGTAAAATCATACGCTTATTTTCTAAGGTATCGATTTTATTGATAATCAAAACGACTGGCATTTCTGCATTTTGCAGTTTTTCTAAAACCAAGTCATCATTTGGTGTCCATTTCTGGGCATCTAAAACAAATAGTACCAAATTGACATCACGCAATGCAGAGTGTGCAGCTTTGTTCATCATTTTATTGATCGCACGCACTTCTTTCTTGTGCATCCCCGGCGTATCAACAAATACAGCCTGAGACTTTTCACGACTATCAATACCAATGATTTTATGGCGTGTCGTTTGTGGCTTACGTGAAGTAATTGACAACTTTTGACCCAATAAATGGTTCATCAATGTCGATTTACCCACGTTTGGACGTCCTACAATTGCAACAAATCCACTTCGATAATCCGAAGGGATTTCTGTACCTTGTGAGCTAAAAAATTGATTAATTAACTCATTACCGCTTTCAGACGGCTCGTGATCAGCATCATTGTGATCGGAATGTGTACTCATGCAGTTTACTGCTCCAATATCTTTAAAAAATCCGCCGCGACTGCTTGTTCTGCAAAACGGCGACTTGATCCCTCACCCATCATTTTAGGCAAGCCATCTACTGTACATTCTACTTTAAAATGCTGGTTAGGTGCATCACCCTGAATATCTACGACCTCATAAACTGGGAGATGCTTTTTACGAGCTTGTAGATATTCTTGCAAACGTGATTTTGGGTCTTTGAGTTGATCTGTCGGTTCGATATGATCTAAATACGGTTCATACCATTTTAAAACAATCGATTCCAACAAAGGCAAATCTCGTGTTTCGGTATAAATCGCGCCAATAATTGCTTCAACTGTATCTGCTAATATTGACTCACGATGATGACCGCCTGATTTCAATTCACCTGTACTTAAAATTAAACTTTGACTTAACTTTAAATCATTGGCAATTTTACCCAATGCTTCTTGGCGTACCAAAGTTGCGCGCATACGCGTCAAACGACCTTCATTTTCATGAGGATACGCATGATATAAGTAGTTTGCGATGATCATACCCAACAATGCATCACCTAAAAACTCTAGGCGCTCATAGTTGTATTTGTGACTCACCGAGCGATGAGTCAGCGCGAGTTGTAATAACTCGTATTGTTTAAACTGGTAACCGATTCTGCTCTGTAAGCGAGGATCACTTACTTTCAACTGACCTTTGATCAAAACTCTTCTCGAAAGTGAGGACTAAATCTATATTCAGCATGAAATTTTTTCGTACTTCATATTTTTTAGTCACTTGTAAACCATCTTTAGTTGATACAGTCGCAATATCCTCAAGTTTAGTATCTCGGATATTGTTCATTTCTAACCGTTTATCAACTTCTGTTGCAAATTTCATTGGTGTGATTTCAGCAGAGCTATTCTTTATCTGCTCTACAATTTGGTTATTAATCACACGATCATCCCAGTATAAAGGCCATACAGCAACTATGATTTTCAACATAAAAGCTAAAGCAATTATCCCCAGTAAAATTCCAATATATGAAGCGCCTTGTTGATTTTTACGCATTTTTTTTATCCAACAGCTCAGAATGAATAATCTTTAATCGCAATTGAAAATAATCATATAATTGAGTCAAATACACTGCTGCAGACTCACTGATCATTTTCAATTGTTATAAATTTTTTATCCACTGCAAACCCTGGTGTGATAAAAAACTTTACCGCGCTATTATCCTTGAAACTGCATCAAGTTGCTAGTTTAAATCATTTGTTCTATTTCATTTTTCTTATAAATCAAGACAACTTTATAGCTTTAACAGATAAAAATAAAGGTCAATAAAAATTGACCTTTATTTGATTTTCTAAACTGTAGCCGATTAGTTAATTGCACCATTGCGACTAAATGAAGGCATTTTTAAACCAGGTTCCTTATGCATCCACACATATATTGCATGACCAGTTAAGTTCTCTTCAGGTACAAAGCCCCAAAAACGACTGTCTGCACTTTGGTCACGGTTATCACCCATGGCAAAATACTGGCCTTTTGGAACAGTCACTTCCCAACTTTGACCATTTGATTTTACAAAGCGGTCATTTGCAGTTGCTACATAAGGTAGGTCTTGTTTTTTCTGTGCATAATTAAATGCTGAAACCAAAGTATTTTGACCTTCCAACAAACGAACTAAATGCTTATGCGTACCCATCGTTTCATAATAGTAGATTGACTTAGGCGTATCTAAAATATCTTTTTCACGACTAAACTCAGCAGGTACTTGCTCAACATTTTTACCATTGATTGTAAGTTGACCATTATTGAATTCAAGATGGTCACCCGGTAAACCAATAATACGTTTGATATAACTTATTTTGGGATTTTCTGGATAACGGAAAACAGCAACATCACCACGTTGTGGCTCACCAATATCAATTATCTTGGTATTGGTAATCGGTAAACGCACACCATACTGGAACTTATTCACCAAAATATAATCACCTGTTTCTAAAGTCGGTACCATAGAATCAGAAGGAATATTAAACGGTTCAAATAAGAATGAACGCAATACCAAAACTACTGCTAGAACAGGCCAGAAATCATATGCCCATGAAATGATGACATTTTCATTCCCCTTACCTTTTGTTGCACGTTGTTTCAGTACAAACTTATCCAGTAACCATAGCCCAAAAAATATAAGCGTTGCAGGAACGAGAATTAAATTAAAATCAAAATCCATGAGCAATAAGACCTCTAGTTTTTATCTTTCTACTTTTAACACAGCAAGGAACGCTTCTTGTGGGATTTCAACACTACCCACTTGCTTCATGCGTTTCTTACCTTCTTTTTGTTTCGATAACAGTTTCTTCTTACGAGAAACGTCACCACCATAACATTTAGCCAATACGTTTTTACGCATCGCTTTGACTGTTGAACGTGCAATGATTTGTGCACCAATTGCAGCTTGAATCGCCACATCAAACATTTGACGCGGAATCAAGTCTTTCATCTTTTCAACTAAAGCAATACCACGGTGACGTGCATCATTACGATGACAAATCATTGCCAAAGCATCAACCTTATCACCATTAATTAACACATCAACCTTAACTAGAGATGAACTCTCAAAACGCACGAAATTGTAATCCAGTGAAGCAAAGCCACGTGAGCAAGATTTCAATTTATCAAAGAAATCCATAACCACTTCTGCCATTGGAATTTCAAAGGTAATTGATACTTGGTTACCCAAGAATTTCATATCTTTTTGCACACCACGGCGCTCGATACATAAAGTCATGACATTACCCAAGTATTCTTGAGGCACTAAAATATGACATTCAGCAATCGGCTCGCGTAAATCTTCAACTGTTGAACCGTCAGGCATTTTAGATGGGCTATCGATATAAATCGTTTCACCATTTTTCATCAATGCTTCATAGATTACGGTTGGCGCAGAACTGATTAAGTCTAAATCATACTCACGCTCTAGACGTTCTTGTACAATTTCCATGTGTAGCATTCCCAAGAAGCCACAACGGAAACCAAAACCTAAAGCATCTGAGCTTTCAGGTTCAAAGAACAACGCAGAATCGTTAATTTGTAACTTATGTAGCGCTTCACGGAATGGTTCAAAATCACTGGCATCAATTGGGAATAAACCCGCATATACCTGTGGTTTTACCTTTTTAAAACCCGGTAAAGTTGCAACATCAGGTGTGGTTGCCAAGGTAATCGTATCACCAACTGGCGCACCAAAAATGTCTTTGATCCCAGCAATGATAAAGCCAACTTCACCCGCTTCTAAAATACCTGTATCAGTATGTTTTGGATTAAAAATACCAACCGAAGTGATGATGTGCGATTGACCTGTTGATTTCATCAACATTTTATCGCCTTTACGCACACGACCTTGTTTGATACGAACAAGTGATACAACACCTAAATAGTTATCAAACCAAGAGTCAATAATTAAGGCTTGTAAAGGTGCGTCACGGTCACCTTGCGGTGCTGGAATAATGTCGACCAATGTCTCTAAAACAGACTCTACACCTAGACCTGTTTTTGCCGAACATGTTGGTGCATGTGTTGCTTCAATACCGATAATTTCTTCGATTTCATGAATAACACGTTCAGGTTCTGCTTGTGGCAAATCGATTTTATTCAGGACAGGTAGTACTTCTAAACCCTGCTCAATTGCGGTATAGCAGTTTGCAACAGATTGCGCCTCAACCCCTTGTGCAGCATCGACAACCAACAATGCACCTTCACAAGCTGCAAGAGAACGCGATACTTCATAAGAGAAATCCACGTGTCCCGGTGTATCAATAAAGTTTAATTGATACTCTTGCCCATTTGGATGGGTATAGTACAAGGTTACAGAAGCCGCTTTAATGGTAATCCCACGTTCACGCTCAAGCTCCATAGAGTCTAGGACTTGAGCCTGCATTTCACGGTCTTGCAATCCACCACACATTTGAATGAAACGGTCTGCAAGTGTCGACTTGCCGTGGTCGATATGAGCGATAATCGAAAAATTACGTATATTGTTGATATTAACGGATTTCTTAGCTACTGCCATACACTACTCTAAAAATATGTACACAATCATGTACTCAATATCAAAAGTACTTATGACGTGCAAAAAATGAAATATCTTAATTGCTGCACAGTATAAGCAGAACATGGTCAAAAATATAGTAATTACATATAAAAATAAGACCTGCTGTGTATTGTTTTATCAACTGTGTCAATCCATGCTTTTAATCTGGTGACTCACAAGAACGAGCAGAACCAAGCGCTTTTTCTTGATACTTATGCATCCTGACACTTCTATTCTTAGCTAAATAGTGTTCCAGCATACTTGATGCATAGATGGATAATTATCTTTATAGATGGATAGTTATCTTTAACGCTGCATCAATCATTAGCCTTATGTTTTTTCATTGATGTCACCTTAATCATAGGAGATGAATCATTCGCTAATGCAGAAATGAGGATGTTCATTCTGTACATAGAATCTGTAATCCTGTACATAGAATCTGTACTCGTCTTTTTAATAAAAATAGGATGGACTCATAAAAAGTTTGAGCCAGACTATAAAAAAATAACTGAGTTAAATCTCATGATAAAAAAGAATGATTCAACAAAACATCAATAAAACACATAAAATAACTGCAGCAGCTTCAAACAAAATTAAAATTATTTACAACTTTTTGACTCTTTTTATATTCCTCAATCGTTTTAGTAATAGCTTATCTAAACAAAAACATTAACGTGGTGCTGTGCAGATAGAAATTAACCTTATTGGCGAATCTAAAGCACTTGATTCAAGCTCAATAGAAATCCTTGTTCAACAACAGATTACAGAGACCCCAAAATGACAAAACAGTCAGGTCATTGATATGAATATTATCCTTTTAGGTTGCAACGGCCATACCGCTGTGACCATGATTGAATGGTGAGACAATTTGAATAAAGACCATGATCCTAAGCCTAACATGCAACAGACCCAACTGATTACTCTGGCAGAACAGCTTCGCCCTGAACTGCATGGCATAACACCATGAAACTTTAAGACTTGTTGATTAGTATCAGAAACTGACGCAACAGTACTTACCGATTGCTGATTTTGTAACGCGGAGTCTGAACTTGATGGGGCTATTACAGTATTGGTTTCTGGTTTTAAATACCATACTATTCCAACAAGAAATAAGACAACCAACAGCAACAACAGATGTTTTTTATAGTGGCTTATAACGTCCATGTTATATCTCTTTTTCAATATTTTATTATGCTTTTCACAACCTCAGATTTTCCGATATTTCGCAAAATCATTAACCAGCTAAAAAGGTAGCTGCTCCCTACAAAAAACATGTACCGATATAATCATAAGTTTTAAACCCATTCGCTACTCCATAAAATTATTATGTTCATATTCAAGTGATCTAGCTTTTCAAGAAGTTTCATGGCATAACTATTAAGAGCGAATTAATAATTGATACTTTTGGTCAGTCAAAGCTTCTTGCAATGATTATTAGACATAAATCACAAGCTAACAATCACCAAGAATGCAAAGTTTTTGCAGAAACAGTATTTTTCTCGGAATTCCAAAAATATGCTTAGTTCGTTTTCAGATACTTTTTTTGATATCTATCGGTTATCAGGTATAGCAGGCAAAATCCATAGTATTTCAACTCTTTTACCTGGAGAAATACTAGAATTTTCCCCAAATCATGGCTATATACATATTATTCAGAAAGAAAAATGCCTTTTAACAATGAACGATCTGGAACATCATCTGGAATTGAAACATTGCGACATAGCTGTGGTTTTACCTGGTAACTTTCACAGTATAAGCTTGAGTACAGATGCATTTCAGGATGCTAAAATCATCACCTGTACAATTGATTTTTCAGGTATTTATGGCTCAGCCATTGCCGAGGGTTTGCCTGCTTTCATTCACGTCCCTTTTACCTGCAAAGCCACAAATATTATTGCGGAATGGGTTCCAATCACTGTTCATGCAATTCAACAGGAACTTAAAGCACCTTCGATAGGCAGTCAGATTATGCTGACCAGAATTATTGATCTTTTATTTATTTGGTCAATTCGTTGTTGGCTTAGCACTGTTGAACCGAATCATAGAAGCTGGATTTCAGCATTACAGGAACCGATGATCAGTAAAGCCATGTCTTTAATGCATAATCATCCGCATTTTGACTGGACTGTTGAAGAACTTGCTAAGTGTACTAATTATTCAAAATCAAGCTTTTACAAGAAGTTTACTGAATCTGTCGGGACCACCCCAATACAATATTTAAAATCGCTGAGAATGCGATTAGCCAGTGAATTACTATTAACCACGCAAAAAAGTATTTTTCATATTGCTGAGCTTGTTGGCTATTCCTCTCAGGCTGCATTCAGCCGAGTATTCTCCCAAACATTTAACTACTCACCTTCTGAGTTTAGAGAATCCTTTAAAAATAATCCTGCACAGGAGTAAAACACAACTGCGCTTATTAACAATGTATTGTGCAAAATTGTTAAATCAAAGTATTTTAATAGTTAGCTTTAGTATTCATTTAAGTCTGCTTCGGAATCTGGCATGCCAAATTTGAGTTCATCACCAACTTTGGCGATTGCGTGAATAGCGGGTAGGAATTTTGCACCAATAACTGTTAATTTGTATTCTACAGAGGGTGGCGATGTCGGGATTGGCAGACGTTGTATAATTCCTTTACTTTCCAAATGACGTAGACGTTCTGTCAATACTTTTGCAGTAATTGATGGCAAGTCAGCTCTTAACTCGCCAAATCGACGTGGTCCAGCACTTAAACACCAGATAATTTCTGCAGTCCAAGCGCCCCGTAGCAGGAGCTCCAGCCAGACCGTTTCTGTTTTAAAAACCACAGCAGCTGATATGGATGAAAATGGTAGAGTGACTGATGGTCGTGCCAAAGTAATTGATAAATACTTTGGTTGGGGAAAAATTGATCTGGAAAACGTCATTAAAGGACCAGCAATGTTTGCTTCAGCGGATGATGTAAAAAACATGCTTGCTGAGGATGTAAAACAAAATTTGGGTGATGATCTGGATAATCTGGCCAATACTTTTGGAAATGGTGATTTCACCGTCAATATGGGCCAAGGGATAAAATATGATATTGGCACAACCAGAGAACGTAGTTGCGATGCAGCTGAATGTTCATTCGATATTTGGTCAAACAATATCGCTGGTAGCGGTGGTCTGATTAAAAAAGGCAGTGGAACATTACAGTTATCGGGAAACAATACCTATGCAGGCAATACTTTCATTAATGAAGGTGGTATTGATATCACAGGATCTTTATCTTCAGGCATTATTGTCAATAAATTAGGGACACTTTCTGGTCAAGGTCAGTCTGCAACAATCGAAATCAATAGTGGCAGATTTGCACCATCACTTTACAATCAAACAGGATTTAGTACATTTACTATTAATGGAGATATTAAATTTAGCCCTGACGCCACATATTCAGCCAAAATTAGAGACAAAAAT